TGTCGGCGGGCCTGTTCATTCTGTCCACCCCGCAGCTGCTCTTCCAACCGACGGACCTGTTCCTCCTGTCGGCGGGCCTGCTCCTGCATCATCACCATCAGAACACCTAAGTCAGTTGCTGCAGATGTAGGAGCTACTGACGGGCCTGCAGCCGGCGGCTGGCCCTCCGACGTCTGCGGCGTTGCACCACCAAATCTTCTTTGGTCCGTCTCCTGCTGGCGTTGACTTCGGGTACGGACACCCTCCGTTTCTTCCTTAGGTAAAATCGGCATGATTTTATCCTACTTCTGACATCAATTGTTACGAGCTTGAGGTTCGTGACAATAAAAACTGCCGATTGAATTACCAAAATTAACTCTTTAATTCACTTTACACTAAGTAAAACTTAGAACACTAATAATTAACCACACTAATTCACTTTATTTCGCTCCGAAGCTTCGCTTGTCTCGCCGAATTCAATACTTCCTCGATCGCATACTTCAGCGCCTTTAAATACACATTATCACCGAAAATCCAGAATATTCAAGTAAATACGCGCGCCAATCGACAGGCGCCGAAAGTTCGAGTGTAGGGCTTCTAGAAGCTTAGTTCTTCGTTTCGATACTAGATGGCGCTGTCGATTGAAAGATTAGTGATGTCATTTTCTGGAAAGCTCCCCTCGTTCTCGTTTCCGACACTAGATGGCGCTAGTGCCGGGTGCATGACGTCATCTTAGGCGCGCAACAATACCTTCTTTTAAGAAACAGTTTTATAAAATTAATGCGTGCTTCGTTCATATTCATCAAAGTTTAAGCAAAGAGAGACAATTTTAAAGTAACGCTTTGAGCATGCTATTTTCACTAGTACACACTACAATTGTAGTCCAACGGGTTTAGATCGAGCCTGGACGTAGGCCAGTCCCCAGCTGTTTTGAAATGCTGTACAGCCAGGTTTGAAGTGCTCATACCTTCTGATCAACAGCCGGGTCTTGCAAGAAAGTCAGCCATACATAAATAGAAGTGAGAGGCTCCATCACAATCCAAGACTGTCTTTTGATTAAGTTTTATCAATGTCTTTACTTTTTTTTCACAAAAATGAAGTTACAAGACTTTTTGTAGAATATCTCCCAAAAAGCCATGATTGATTCAGGAGCTGTGAGCATAAATTTTGTTACTTTCCTTGTTGTAATGCTCTTCAATTCTTTAATAGTAAATATATTAAATCATCAGCGTATCGCGGCAGCAAACGTTTTGATATATCCTTACTCTTAAGCTGCAGGGACGGATTAAGACATGTCCCGTATACCGACGGTGATTACCTATTTTCAGGTATTGTTTAATAATTAGTGCAGGGTTCTAGCGAGAATATTCATTTCATGTGATAATATTTTGGTTTCCTTCGTGTAAGCACAGATAGTATCTGATTCCAGTATTTGTCAGAGTTCATGTCCCAATCGGTCCAAACTGTTAGAGGTCAGACAGGAGTCGAAGCGATATTTAATGGTCTGATGAGAGCTGGAGGAGTTGTTGGTGAACATGTCGATTGAAACATAAATATTTCTAATGCCTCGTTTTTCAAGCGTCTTATTAGTGACTAACGGCTGCTTGTCACTAACACTTTAAGCAAAGCAATCAATGCAATTGTTTCCTTGGAAGGTTTACTTCGTAATGTATTTAACAATCTCAGTAAAAATGCTACAAAGTAGATCAAATAAATCGAAAGCGAGACTTAACGTTATTTTACATAAAATATTTAAATATTTTAAAACCCTCTTACGACGCAATTTGCTATTATATACGGTAAGAATGTGAGTGTGCGTAAAATAAAGGATTTCTAAATTAATCCGGTATTAGTATTCTAAGCATGATACATTTCAAACAAAATGGATACTTTGGGAGCACTCTTGTTTTTGAAGTTTTCAATTAATTTATGAACTGTAATTTTTTTATTAATTTAAATTCGAGATCTCTGTCAATATGTGATTTTGTGTCATATATTGGGCACTAGACCGTAGTCCACAGAAAAGTAAGTAGTAACTGGCGAACCAGTAAAAGAGGCCTTGTCCCCTTGGTAGTGTGTAAGCACAAACATCGACCGAAGTCGGGCATGTCAATGCATGTAAACGCCATACAGAATACGATCAAGCCAACCACAATGGCTGTTCGTCACACGGTTTAGGCAAATAGGCGCACTGGACATAAAAAGCCTGCAGACGTGATGTAAGTGTATGGCATCACCACCGATTGCATGATCAGCACTACTACTAGCTGCAGAGCGTTTCATGAGTCTACCGCTCACTTCAAGGGAATGGGATCCCACATGGTGCAACTTTCGGCCGCAGGCTTGAGAGTCTCCTCAGATCACGAATGGATCGGATCGACGTAGGTGAGGACTAAGATGGAATGCCTCGTTTCCAGTAAAAGATCCACATTGTAGTCATGCATAGTTTAACTTGTGTTCTTCTTAGGCTGTGGCATAGGGAAGTGGATAATGATTATGCTAATATGTGTAAATGTAGTGCGTTCTAAGAAAGAAATAGAGATATAGATTTTTCCAAAAAATAATTTATTTAAATATTGAATGTTTTAGTATAAAGAAAAAAAGGAAATCGGGGTTATTTATTATAAAATATCTAGATAACTTAAATAAAACATTATTATAAGAAATAAGAAATAATCGACATGTTTTTGCTTATTATAAGTCATTGCTTGGTCACAATCCCACCTGGTGGTAAGTGGTAACGTAGCCCTTAATGGTATATAGTACATATTATTTGTATATTATTTAAACATCAAAACAACACATAAGTTATATATGCCTACCGAGACCTTGGAAGCAAGCAGGAAGTCACCTACAATATAGCATCGCAGGTTAAGCAAATAACAGCGTGTGACATAAAAATAATCAACACAGTGCCATCAGGAAGTCACCTATCGCCAGTTAAGCAAAACCCAGCACGTTTCAACATAGCATATAAACCTAGGTTTAATTGTTAATACAGCCCAGTAGTAATTAAGTTAGTTTGTAAGTTAACTAGTCTAGTATTTCAGTGTACTCACATTGTCACAGTAGTTAAGTTAACGTGTAAGTTAGAAAATAAAGTAATATTGGGAAAAGTCTTCGTTTCCTTCTACTTCAACCCTCCTTAAGCTGCCGCAAGCGTAACTCACATGTAAACACTGCTTCACAAGCATTTACGTGTTAGTTACACTTACGCTTAGATTGCCACTAAGCTTGTTCCTGAGTCACTCGCATACATCGATTGCCTGCGTGTTTCACAAAGTCGTCATTCTATATTGTTGGGTCTCGTCTCGTGAGGTTGCCACTCGAGAACCTTTCTTCTCCATTAGTTGTCGGTTCTTCGAGTTAAAGGGTTTTCCAACATGTTGTGTGGGAGGTATTCTTTTTTTGTTGAGAAGTGCACGTATGTCTTTATGAAATATGACATCGTTTAAATGTCCACACAGGCTTCGCACGGTGGCACGGATCCGTGAGGTCCAATTTTTTTTTATGGAATTGATAAGATGAAATGCCTAGTTTTTTGTAAAAAGGTCTCCGGTTCTTTACACTCACCACACAAAACACAGCAGCGTTAAGCTGCTATTTTATGGTGGTATTCTGTGAGAGCGTAGTCCTTTCCCGGTAGAGCCGACCATGAGAGATGTGTTATACTACGAGTAATATAATATAACCGCAGCATGGCTCTACCACGTGTTAAAATCTTTACTATTATAATATTTTCGACTTGCATTTCTATTATTTAACACATTTCAAATATTTTAACAAAGTTTTTAATAAATTTATTAATTTTGAAAGGCAACATTAAGCCTTTAATATACATAATGTCTGAAATGTATTTATTTTAACTTTATGCTTATTAATGTATTTTAACTGTTTAAAATATTACTTTTAAGATAATTTTTGACGACTTTATATAGTAATTAATTATTAATAATAATAATGGGCATTCACACACTACTATATCTTGTGCCTACTTTACGCATAAAAAATATGGCCAAAAAGAAAAAATACTAATAATAATAAATGTGGCAATTATGCCCATCCTCCCCCAATGAGCAATGCAATAAAGAAAAAGCCCGCAGTCACCGGTGGCCCTGCTATTACTCGCTACGGTGGTGAGCGATATTAGGATGGCTCTTCATAATCTTAAAAACTGCAAGTGATGAAATTACAGCTGAACTTCTGAAAGCGGGTGGAAAATCGGTATTTGTAAAAGCTTTTTAATTCCGTTCTCCATGGTGGCACTATTCTGCTAAAGTGATTTGACAATTGGGTTACGATGGCTATTCGAGTACAGAACTGGATTACGAAACCCATCCAACTTAAAGAAGTGTGAGACAGAGGGACGTTATCACCGCTACATTTTAAGACGTTTTCAAGCTACTGGACTGGACGGTATTACCATCAATGGCGAGTACATCACTCACCGTAAATTTTTCGACGATATAGTTCTTATGGCAGAATCAATTCTATGTGTAGGGTGAAATTTAGTGCATATTGAAATACTCGAATATATATTTTTTTAAACAAATATTTTTTGTACTTAAATACACCCAGGCTTTGAGTTTAATACAAATACGAATAAACATATTAAAATAAGTACAGTACAGTACAACTCGGGTAGTTAAACAATATTGACATGTTTGATTTGCTCCGTGAAGTAATAAATAATACAGTAGTAAAGTTTTGTTAATACGTTCAAATTTTTACATAAACGTATAGTTAACTAAGTGACCTAACTTATAGTGTAAATGATTTACTTCAACCTTATGATATTTCAACGTTATCGGTGACTTAATTTCAAAATGAAGTAAAATAACGTTTCACTGTGTACATCGCTTCGAGTTACTGCGGCCCGCTGCTGTGTGTGACTCATAACATAGAATTTCATATTGCTTTGTGCTGCGTTCAAATGAGTAAGTTCACTTGCTTTTGTGCTGCGTTAAGTTCTATTTGATAATAAAAACAAAGTATACTACTATTAGCTAATTTAAGTAATTATGCCACAAGCAAGAGTGAAATTTGGATGTTGCGAAAGACAGACGTCATCACCTAATGCATTAAGCTGTTACTCCTGTAAAATCAAATATCATCTTAACTGTGTCAACATAAAAAAATCATTAAAAGAGTTACCAGAGGAATTCAAATCTAAATGGACTTGTCCATGTTGCTGTAGTAAGCTACCAAAATTTGACAACACTAACACGCCAATTAAAGCAACTACAAATCAACCTGAATCGGATAGTGAGGAATTCCCAATAAATATAAACTTAAGAAGGGATACAGTACAAAAGTTGGAAGTATCCGTCGAAAATATACGGCAAATTGTTAGAGAAGAATTAGAAAGTATTTTAGACAGTTTCAAAACTAAGATAATTAAACAGTTAGAGGTAAAAACAAAGGAAGTTCTTGATAAATTCAATCAAATATCTATGTCCAAAGTCGAAAGTCAACTGGAACATATTCAAAACGAAGTACAATCCAATTGTAAGAAAATTAATGTATTAGAATCTGAAAATACAACACTACGAAGTACAATCATCAACCTTAACTACAGACTTACATGACTTGAACAGCACTCTGGGGCCAGCAATCTTGAAATACAAAATATACCTGAACATAAATCGGAAAACTTAATCACAATAGTTAAGCAAGTTGCCAACACAGTTAACTGCAAGTTGGAAAAACAAGATATTCATCTGTGCACGAGAGTAGCTAAAGTAAATAAAGATAGCCAACGCCATAGATCCGTTGTGATAAAATTTGGTTCCCCAAGAATACGTGATTACTTTTTAGCTGCTACACATAGATTTAACAAAACAGCTAAGAGTCAAAGTGAAAAGCTCAATAGTAGTCATCTTGGCATTGGCGGTGAGAAGCAGCCAGTCTTTGTCGTTGAGCATCTGTCACCCACGCAAAAGGAAATACATGCTGCAGCGAGATCTAAGGTAAAAGAACTCAACTACAAATTTGTCTGGGTCAAGGGAAGAAGAATATTTATGCGTAAGACGGAAACATCCGAGTACAAATTAATAAAGACCATCCAAGAACTGTCTGAACTAAAATAGTTTTCATAGCAAACTTAGTGTATAAAGGTGTTTTATTGCTTGTATAAATTATTTTGTTTGTATAACCTGTATGTTGTTAGATCATTTGAACATATATTATCAAAATGTAAGAGGCTTAAACACAAATGCGGTTGAGGTACGTCAACATATTATTAATAACAAATACGATGTTTATATATTCACAGAAACGTGGCTTAATAACAGTTGCTATGACACTGAAATCTTTGCCAGTAGCTATGCAGTGTACAGACGAGATCGTGAAACCTCTTCTTTATCAGGACTAAAAAAGGCGGGGGCGTGCTTATTGCTGTATCCGAACGACTCATATCAAGGCGTATCGTAGAGTGGGAAACTGATAGTGAAGATATTTGGGTGTCGGTTACATCTAACCCTACCAAAAATATTTTTATAGATAAAGCAAATGGTATACTTGGTTCCCGAACTGATAGAGAAAGCATACTCATTGCCGGTGATTTCAATTTGAGTGAAATAACTTGGCTATGCAATCATAGAAACGACATCTTTAATCATATGTTACCATCAGGGTTCGGTAATAGTGAGATCTTATGTAAATTTGTTGATTTTATAAATCTCAATAACTTAAATCAATTTAACTATGTAACAAACATAAAAAATCGTATATTAGATTTGATACTTTGCAATAAAGAAGTCTTGAATATTGTCGAAACACAAGATCCAGTAAGAAATATTGACAAGTTTCATCCTCCTCTTGTAATTAAAATGAAAATCTTATTAGAAAGTAATAGAAAAGTACGAGTACATCTTACTAAACATCATGGGAGAATGAATTTAGTTCTTGTAATAATCTTAATGAAATGGTAAAAAGATTCTATGAACTGCTAAAATATGCTATTGAAAAGCATATTCCTATGACTAAAGCCGACCATGGGCCTTATCCTGTGTGGTACTCATCCCATTTAATCAAACTTTTAAGACAAAAATATAGATACCATAAAAAAATAAAAAGTATAAAAATCCACTAGATCAAATAGAATTTGAATATTTAAGACATAACTGTAAAAAGCTAATAAAGGAGTGCTATAATAAATACATAAATACAATGGAGACAGATATTAAAACCAACCCCAAACTATTTTGGACATATATCAAAAATCTACGCAAGAATTGCTCATTATATCCTAATACCATGACCTTTAAAGATGATAAATCATCAGATACAAAGCTAATAGTGGACATGTTTGCATCTCATTTTTCTTCAACATATGAAAGAGATCTTAATGATAACAATTCAAAAAATAATATGTACACTGGACTAATAGCTAATTCCTTTGATGTTATCGGGGAAATTCAATTTAGACCAGAAGATGTCAAAAATAAACTGAAAAAGCTAGATATCACAAAGGGAGTAAGCCTAGATAATATACACCCACTACTTTCATTAAACTGTGCAGATGCGTTGACTTTTCCACTAACTTTTCTATACAATCGATCTCTCAAAATGGGCATATTCCCCAATGAATGGAAACTAGCAAGAGTAATCCCTATATTTAAGAATGGAGCAAAAGACTTAGTAGTTAACTATCGTCCGATTTCTATCTTATCATCAATACCAAAAGTATTTGAATCATTAGTTCACTCTGTAATTTATCGGCATACTCAAAAATACATCAACGAAAATCAGCACGGCTTTATATCAAGGAGGTCGACCAACACTAATCTTATTCTTTTCACTTCAGATTTAAAAGAAAAAGTAGATCAAGGCTTACAAGTTGACGCCATCTATACAGATTTTTCGAAAGCTTTTGACAAAGTAAATCATAGCATCCTGATTAATAAATTATATTTATTTGGAATTACAGATAACCTACTGGAGTGGTGTAAATCTTACCTTTCAAATCGCTTTTCTAGGGTGGTAATTGATGGCAAACAATCTGGGCTATTTGAAGCATTTTCGGGAGTTCCCCAAGGCTCGATTTTGGGACCGTTATTTTTTAATATTTTTGTCAATGACATAACACGTGTGATAAACCATAGTGATGTATATCTTTTTGCTGACGATCTTAAAATTACGAAAACAGTTTCAACGGCTTCAGATGCGCAACACCTCCAGGAAGATATTAATAATCTTCACGAATGGTGTAACAACAATAAAATGTTTTTAAATGCTACAAAATGCTATCATATTAAGTACAGCAGAAAACGTAATAATTTTGAATCGATATACACAATAGCAGGCACAAAGTTGGAAGAAGTTATCACTATTCGAGATCTTGGTGTCATAATGGATGGTCATCTGAAGTTTGCGGATCATATTAATAAGATAGTGGCGGAAGCAAATAGGTCGCTTGGCTTCATATTGAGAAATACAAAGGATTTTAAAAAGCCAGCCACTGTCATTAAGCTTTACAACAGTTTAGTAAGAAGCAAGCTTGATTATTGCAGCACAGTATGGTGCCCCACTTTTAAAACTCACATAGAGAGGATCGAGAAAGTTCAGAAAAAGTAATTCGTAGTTTAACTTACCGTTTTGGTACTCCAAGAAATGTCAAAACCTATCATGAAAAAATTAAGCACTTTCAACTAGAATCCCTTTCCCTACGCCGAAATCACTTAGACATGTCACTCCTACATAAGATCATAAATAATTACATTGACTGTGTCCCGCTATTGTCCAAATTTCAATTTAACGTACCATGCAGAATACCAAGATATCCGTGTAGCCTTTTTAAGATCAAATTTTGTAGAAACAACTAAGGTCGCGACTCCCCAGTAATCCGTATATCTCGCCTGTACAACAAGCTCACCAAAAATGAACCCGACCTCGACGTTCACCATGATACCCTTGCTCAATTTATTGCCAAGCTAAAGCATGTTGACGTACGTTAAACTTCAGTTACACAATTAACTTTTATTACTTTATCATTATTTTTTATTTTATTTTTTATTTAAGAACATATTTTTCTCAATTTTGTTTAACATTTGTAACACAACGCATGCTGTGATTGCCTATAATTATAAGAGCAGTTAATCATGTAAATTTAAAACGCTGTAATGTAATCAAACATTAATTGCTGTTTCTTATGTTGGTAATCCAAAATAAAAAAAAAATTAAAAAATTTAGGGATAGCCGACCTAAATAAATCGTTTCAAACTCTTAACTTTAATTAATATTTTGAAATATAAAACAAACGTCTCTTTTATGTATAAACGGAATAATTAATTTTATTTGTGTTTGCTAGTAACACGGAAAACTCGATTTAATTTGAAATTAAAAAGTTACTATAACAAATAAATTATAATACTGAAGTTTAGTTCACAAATAGCTTAAATTAATAATGTGATGTGCCGTGTAGTGGCGGTTAAGAATATCCACTACCCCATATCTTCCCGTGGGTGTCGTAAGAGGCGACAGAGGGAGACAGGCAGGAGATGGGCAGCAGCGTCTTCCTGATGACAACTGTGACGTAATAAAAAACTGCGGTTGCCAACCCGCTCGCCAAGCGTGGCAACTATGGCAAATACCCCCCAACGAATAAATACACAAACAGACGGCCCCCAGTCCCCGGCGGCCCCGCTATTCCTGGCTACGGTGGCGACCATGGTAACGGCGGGGCAGGGGGTGCTAAGAATCTCCGGTGGAGGTTCGGTTGCCACCTACGACGACTCGACCTGGCAACATATAACGCACGCACCCTGAGGACTGACGAGAAGATACTGGAGCTGGAAGAAGAGGTAGACAAGTTGCGCTGGCATATTATTGGATTATCCGAGGTCCGAAGAGAGGGGAAGGACACGGCAATCCTCGAGTCCGGCAACTTGTTCTATCACCGGGAGGGCGACCATCTGTCCCAAGGAGGTGTCGGATTTATCGTCCACAAATCTCTCGTCAACAACGTTGTAAAGATTGGGAGTGTGTCGACGAGGGTCGCGTACCTGATACTCAGAATCACCAAACGGTATTCGCTGAAGGTCATTCAGGTTTACGCACCAACCTCGGCACATCCCGATGAGGAGGTGGAGGAAATGTATGAGGATATTTCCAGAGCCATACATTCCTCCAAAACCTACTACACGGTGTTGATGGGAGACTTCAACGCAAAACTGGGCACAAGAGAAAGCGGTGAGCTGAAGGTAGGGAAATCTGGAGTAGGGCAACGGAACCGAAGGGGCCAGCAGCTGGCCGACTTTATGGAGAAAGAGGGACTCTTTATGATGAACTCTTTCTTCCAGAAGCGGCCCCACAGGAAGTGGACCTGGTCGAGCCCCGACGGTTCGACAAAAAATGAGATTGACTTCATTATGACGACCAGACGCCAACTGTTCAGTGATGTCTCAGTGATCGCAAGGGTGAAAACTGGCAGCGATCACCGAATGGTTAGAGGCACACTGAACCTAAACGTTAAGTTGGAGAGGTCTCGTCTAATGAAGTCAACGCTCCGTCCCCCTCGTGCTCTAATCCAGAATCCCGAAACCTTTCAGCTCGAGTTACGTAACCGCTTCCAGTGCCTAGAAGATTG